CACCCCGGTCACAGGAGGGTTCCCCAGCACATCCTGGTCACAGGATGGTTTCCCGGCACACCCCGATGAGGCTGTGCGGCCGCTCCCGCTCCAGGGCGCGGCTGAGCGGAGTCCGGCTGCGCGCCGGGGCCGCGGCGGAGCTCAGGGCGCCGCAGCTCCGCAGGTGCAGATCCCCCTGCAGCCGCTTCCTGCAGCCGCCCGCGCCCTGCCGGGAGCTCGTCATCACCTGCGGGAAAGGCAGGAGGGGAGGAGGAAAGAATGGGGAAAACGGGGTAAGGAAAGGCTGAATAATATTTCATTTAAGCTAACACTGAAACTCTTCCAAAGGAGGTTCAGCCCACCAGAACCACTCCTGCTTCTGTCCTTGCAGCTGGTCAGGGCTCAGGACTGGGCACCTGGAAAGCACAGCCAGGCTCTCTGTCTGAACTGCAGCGTAAAATGTATTGCTGCCAAATAAACAGAAATTCTTTCTTACTAATGGCATGAAACTATAAAAGAGCTTCTGTAGGAATTGTCTGAAGAACTTAAACTGCAAAAACATTTATATAAGGCATTTGTCTATGGAAACTGGACACACCTTTAGAACATCAGTGGCCTACCTGGTCTATGATATTGGCACTGAAGATGGCTTCTTCCATGTGTCTCTCATCAGATTTAATGACTGACCGTATGCTGTTCACTACGTGACGCACTTCTGGAGGGAGATTACAGTTTGAATGTTCCAAAAATTTTGCCACTAAAATTTTTGTGTCTTTATAGGCCTTAAGGTCCACTAAGGAGCGTGGCCGCTCTTTCGAGACGGTGTGAAAAGCCTTTGGCTTTAGGTGCAGATCAATTTTCCTTGTATCCCTCTGTTTTCCAGTTGGTAGAAAACTGCTCAAAGAATGCTGGCAAGCAGAGGCAGCCATATGAGAACCAGAGACAGGAACTAAAAAAGGGGGGGAAGAATATCTTTAAAGTAATAGTTTAAAAAAAGAAAAAAGAAAAAAAAGGCAAAACAAATATTGTCACAAAGTTTCTACTTTGTCATAAAATGTCTGTTTTTTTGGAAGAGTAGCAAAAACACGCAATCAAGGAAACATTACAAAATGGGTAATTTTAACCAGGAGTAACTAGGAGTAAACAGGAGTAAGACCTTCCCATGGCCAAGGAGCAGTTCCTTGAGGATGAGTGCGTGGGAAATTAAAGAACTTCACAAACCAGACATTTTTGTGTCCACCTTCAAGGACTTCAGCTGACATTAATGCTAAGGAAACCCACCAGCTACTCTGTGTTGCATGCAACTCATACTCTTTTAGGCCCAGCCCCTCACCCCAGCTTTAAGGCTAAAGTTCTGCCTATTTCTAGGCCTTGGAAATTATATGCAAGAGAGATTAGTGAGAAACAGAGAAAGCAAAAATGCTGATCTAAACCAGAGGACCTAATTCAAAACGTTTACTTTCATTCAAGGCAGGTTCCATCAGCATTGTACCCCATACATTTATGCTGTTACCTGGCTTTTCTGCCCGAGATTTTTTAAAGCTCATTTCTCTCTCAGAAGCTTTTCATTATTTTTAAAAGAAAAAAAAGGAAACCCATCCTCTGCTTTAGAAAACCAATTCTCACCTGTTTCTCCTGTAGCTGGAGATAATCCTGCATCTTGGCACTGCCTGCACACAGAAGTCCAGGCACAATTATCACCTTCAACCAAAGGCAGACAGAAAGAGCAAAGTCAACCCCTGCTGTCCTCCCCAAAGCAAGGAAAAATACACTGGAACATTTTATTATCTCCTTTACAGAATGAAACTACTCAAAGGAAATCCTGCTTTCAAGATGTCCATTCATAAAGAGAGGCTACTACACCCAGAGATGCCTTATGAGTTGTTACACAGATACAAAGAGGAAGACAGAGTTCATGTTTTATGGTTTCCTCTGTAATCCTAAATATTTCATCTTTAAGTGCTGAAACTATGGCAAGCTCCCTATAGAGGCAGACCTCAGACCTTTTCTGTATTTCCTGGGTGGACAGAGTTTATATTGGAAAATGGGAAAAATGAGAAAGATTAATCCTTCTAATTTCTACAAAACCAGCATTTTTATTCAATATTTCTCCTCCTTTTAAAAATATATTATCATTATTTTCAGTACAAATGTAACACACCATTGTTTAAATGAATGGGTAGATGAGCAGGGTGGTACCTGATGAGCCAATCAATAAAAAGTGGTTATGAGGCATCCAAAACAGCTTTGGATGCCATCTAATGACAGTTTCTGGGGTTCCAGCATGAGGATCAATGATGATGAGATCACAGTGTACAGTAACTACCACCTGCAGTTTTTTCATTTCTGACAAGATGGAATAAACCCTCACATTTGGTTGTTAATCTGTTTCCAAGACTGAAAATAGTTTTGAACTTCAAGGTAGCTTAGGAGAGGTTTTCTTCCATATCTCCAGGGACAGTTTATAATGAAAAGCTGGCATAATCCTCTCTGGTAGAGTGAATAATTAAATGAAGGAAACAAATGTAAGATGCTAAAAACATAGCAAATCTGTAAGAAATTAAGAGAGACAGCTTCTATTCTGTCTTTAATTTGTTCTATTATGCTTAAGTACTGTAGCACATGAATCATGGCATGGTTATTAAGAGCAGACACTTCAGAGGTTGTGTCTTCCCATCCATTACTAAACAGTTTAATGTACTTGCAGCAAGTCAAAACTACACCACTGGACATGACCCTGAATTATCTGGAACACAAACACTACAATAATCACTCAGGCACTTAACTGGTACAGCCACATGGTCTATCACAGCTGATTATAAATGAAGTTTATTGTAATAAACATCTGTGCTAGGAGTTGATTTTGTCTGCCTTTGCCATGACAAACTTTACAGGGAAAAGGCAGAAAAAATGTGCAAACTATTCACTTTTAAGTAATTTCTTTTACAAAGGAACTATGTCTGACAGTGGTATGTGAACTCACCATTTTTATGTTTTTCAGGGAGTACACAGTGAGTACAAAATCACGTATTAAACTAAACCTTAATTTATAATTTCTCCACTAGGAATGACAGGTATTTAAAAAACCCCAAGTTTACTTAAAAGGCTTTAGTGGGAGAATTATTTGACTATACCATATAGACACCCCATCAGGTCAAGATGTGCCTGAAGGAAATGAATTCTGTTTTAGGGCCTGAAAGACTGGTTCCATTAGATCTCACTGCTGTTGTGTCACTGTCCTGTTGTACATTTGCACCATCCCCATGTCAAATAATTTCTGTTCCAAACTATGGGCAGTGCAATCACAGTGCAATTCAAAATCCATTTCACAGAAATCTACACAGTAAATGTCAAGGTTGTGCTTCCAAACCTCTTCACGTTGGCTTGGAGGTGAGGCAGAAAATAAATTAGTAATTTTTTCTTATAGTAGAAAGGCAGTGTCTTAAGAAAAACCCAAGCCCCAGCTACAATCTGATCACTGTATTTTCCTTTTCGAGAACATGGCCAAAGCTCCTCCAGCCTCAGTTCTCCAAAATCCACAGTTATTAGTATTAACAATGTGTAGTTACAGATCTTTCATAAAGTCACATCCACTTGACCAGTTCTTTTACTCCAGGACGATTTTTAAAAGTAGGTGTATGTTACTGAAAAAACCCAAAGCACTTTTTCTTGTGTGTTGGTTGAGGGAGCTCAGTTGGTTCCCTTTATCTTTGCCTGTTATTCAATCCTGTAGGTGTATTTGAAAAGCCTGCAGTGAATATCAACAGTCAGTCATGAAAAATCCAGATCAAATGCCTTTTGAAACTTACAAAGACTGTAAAGAGCTTCAGCTGTTTGTCACAGTTTAGGAAAAATACACTTCAGGGCAGCTACAAACAGCCAGAATGTGTTACTAGAATTGGGCTCCTTCTAAACCACCTATGATTTCCAAATCAGGTTCAATGAAAAGTAGAGGAAGGGGATGCAATGTAAACCTTCACAGAGTAAAATATTTCAAACTAGTTTGCCAAACAGGTGTATGAAGAAATACATCTACACTTAACCAGAGTCTCAAGTCAATCCTTCCCTGAAGGATTTCATAGGAAATGTCTCTGTAGGTGCAAAGCAGGTCAGCACCCAGCCCCTCCGAGTCCCTGCTCTTGCTGCCCCTCCCCTGGGTGTCAGCATCTCTGGAACTTTCTCTGCCTCTTCACACCAGTCTTTGCTCAGCCCAGTTAATCTCAATAAAGCCCAACTGGTGTCCCTCCATGACACTTTTGCAGAAGAGAAGATAAATGTATTTAGGACACATTAAGAAGGAAAGGAGGGCATCTGTCCCACCAGGTGTCCAGAGGCAGCTGGAGCACGGGGGCACGGCTGCCCACGGCCAACACTGCTCCATGAGCATATGGAGCACAGCTCTGGAACCCTGCAGAGCCCCATCCAGAAGAGAAAGGGTTTGTTCTTCTTGACTTTCACGCAGCAGAAAGGATTCAGAAATTCCTACTTACTGTCTGCTTACTGGCAGCTTCATTGCACATATGTCCTAGCAGAGTAAATGTCATAAAATAAATGCAGACTTCTAGATTAAAGATTCACTTTTCCTGGCCCAGATGAAGAGGCTACATTTCTAAAGGTAAAAGACATTCAATTATTGAGCTAAGTATGAAGTCTCTGAAATGAAATTATAAAGATGCAAGAAGTGCAATAGAACCAAAACATCATCCTAAATGGAACACGGTGTCTCAATATTTTGTCTCCTTTTGCTCTGAGCTAATCACACAACTCTTCCTCTGGATCCCTTACAAAGCCTGGTGAACAGATCTTGTAGCAGCACAACCCATGACATCTTAAAAAGCTTTTACTTTCAAGCCACTTCTCCAGGTTCCCCTTCTGAATCTCTCCAAACAGCTTAGATCCCTTTCAAAGAGTTTAGGCAGTTCCCCATTCCTGCTACTATCCTCTACTAAATCAACCCTTTCTTTTTCACTATCAAGCATATTTTTTATGAAGATACACTGTTCAGCTAACATCTCCTCCTCCCTACTTTTCTAAAAGGAGATTCACAGCAGAAGAGACTTATCCATGACAGCCAAAAGCTTTTCTTTTCCTTTATCATCTTGTCATGTGCCTCATGTTCATTTCTTTGTCCTTCAAAACTTTTCACCATACACCCCCAAGCTGCCACTGGTCACAGTGGCTGCCTGTGACATGCCCCAATATTGCCAACGTCAGTGTCACCTTGAGGAATCACATCCTGATGTACAACAAGCGTGACAGCTCCAGGAGGAGTCTCCTAAATAAACCCCAGCTGCCATTGCACTTCTCAGTTTAGCCTTTCAGTAGAACAGTAATAGAGAGGTGGGAAAAGCTACTCAACACATGGTTTTCTGAGCAGTGCAGAAAGAATGCTGAAATTTAGAAAAGCCAAAATTATTTTCACTCTGTCAATTTTTCCATTTCCATTCTTACATTTTTACAAATTTAGGAAATATGCATGGAGCTAAAGCCTTCTCACCTAAGACAACCCTCCTAGGAACACAGCATGGAATTTCCAGCAGCGCCAGTTGCTGCACCAATCAATGCCTGTGCTTGGCTGCCCTGTGTGCCACACCTACCTTCGGTGGCAGAGGAGCAGGACACAGGGGCGCTGCTGGAGCGGACGATGGCTGGGGCTGGGGGCTTGCTGAGGCGCTGCTGCTGGACAGCAGCCTCGGGGCCGCCTGCTGAAGTGTTTGCTGGCCCAAAACAGGGAGAGCTCTGCAAAGTGGCAGGGGGCTGGTGACAGTCCACACAACAGGTTTTCTTCTGCTTCAAAGGCGGCGTGGCACTGCTCTCTTGAGCAGAACTCTGCAGTTCTCGTTCTGAGGGGCTGTAATTCCCTGAGGACCAGTCCAAGGACCTGCCGTGGGCACAGCTCTTTTCCTGTCCTTGGGACCTGTCTGTGGAGGCTGGGCTGTGGGAGCTGTCACCCTCATCAGGAAAGCCCTCAGAGCGAGTTCTGTGACACCTGCAGCGAGGGTGGCAATCCAGGGCACTGCAGCTCTGCTCTGCAGCCCCCTTGGGGGTTATGCAGTAGGGAGAAAGATCTGCAGACTGGAGAGATCCTTGAACTTCCAGCGAACAAAGATCTTCAGAGGAGTAGCTACAGTCTGGGACATCAACAGCCTCAGAGACCATCAGAGAGGTGCTCTCAACAGAAACTGCAAAACAAGAGATTCAGAGAAAAATACAAACTTCTTGCCCTCCCTCCCAATCTTCTCCCTCCCCGTGTTCTGTAGACTGACTTAAATTGATCAATCTGCAAATTCTTTTATCAGTAAGAATTCAAAAGTTCTCAGACGAAAAATGCCAAAGTAAAAAACACATAAGTCATTTACTTCTTTCTAGTGTCCTTCAGCAAAGACATTTTTGTGCTGTTCTTGATACTGACTTTTGAACTTTAAATACACAGGCCCTGTACTGTGCTCATCTACTTGCATCCCCAATATCTGTGCTTCAGGCAGCAAGCTTCCAATTCAGCTCCTGGAAGCCATGGAGGAAATTACTCTTTGGAGGAGGAGTGTGAGGGTCAGGAAGCCCCCATGGCTGCTGACAATGAGACACAAGCTGCAAGGAATGTGCAGGACTCTTGGAAGAGAAACAACAGTCACCAGATCCACCTCAAAGGGCTTGACTAGAGCTTTGTCTAGCAAAACTCTGCTCTGCACTTCCAGCCCCAGCCTCTGACTGTGACAAGACCCTTCTTGCCATGAATAACCTGAAAGCAAATGATTCCTTCACCACTAGGAAGGGCAGAAGAGAAGAGAAAGTCTGCTCAAAGCCCCCACTTCCCTCTCTAAGGAGACAAACGCAAAGCCACGATCACCTTGGGTGCCGAAGTCCGGGGTCGTGTTCCTCTCCCCCAGGCTCGGTTCAGACACTTGCTGAGCAGCACCAGTGACCTAAATGAACATGTGGAATAAAAGAGATCATTGACCTGCAGCTCACCAAGCAAAGTGCATTGCTCAGGATCTGAAGGACACACCTGACAATGCGGAGGCACTTTCATATGAGCTGCTATTCAGACTGAAAGCTATTTAGAGTATTTCACATCTTTGGGTCAGGAGCAAATGCAGGGCAAAGGCACAAGCTCAATGCAATTTTACATTTTTCCTGAATCTACAAGGTAAATTCATCTTGAATTCACAGGCCCTTAGGGCTGCAGGCTCACACTACTAAACTTAATATCTGAGTTGAGTAAAAGCAATCTCTCTTTCTACAGTCTACTTTTCTCATATTGTGCTTGGTTTTTTGTTCACCACATCACCCTAAAATAGGAGAGAGAAAACCAGAAACCACAAAAACAAGCACAGTATTTTCACTTCGTTATTTGTGAGGATGTTACCTGTTAATGTGTTTTGAAGCCCTTTAACATCGTTGCCACCCAGGTGCTCTCCAGCCTGGTGGAGATTGCTCCATGGACACAGTATTTATTACCACTCACCTTTTGTCTGAGGGGGGGATCTAAGGGGGTAACTTCCCTTCACTTTTGAGAATCATGTGATCAAAATATAGACTCATTCCTGCTGGGAACACTGAATCCATAAATACCTGAAATTTAGGAAATTTTCTTTCTACTGATTTGATTAGACTTTGGATTGGACCTTGTTGCCAATACTGATAGATTTTTAGCAGTTCTTTGGGAATGTAATTATCAAAAAAATTATTCCAATAAATAGCTGGTAACAAAAATGAGAAAAAATACACAAAGGTTGAAAGGAATGAAACTGATACCATCTTGAGCAGAAAGCATTATATCTACTTCTGTCTATAGGGCCACAATTAACTAGTAGAGTTTATTATGGTTGGTGACAGTCTAGAAATCAGCATCAGCCACCTCTGTGCAAACCTTTCTGTCAAGCACTTAATCTGTGTCTGGCCTAAAAAATTGGATGTGACACAATTAGTCTGAAGCTATTAGGGCAAGAGCTTCCATTTCACATGCCCGTGTGGATTAAAGCACATATATTTGTGCATAACTTACTGTGCTCACTGTTTGTTTGCTTTCTATCTACCTACCTACCTATCTATCTATCACATCTATGATCCAGTGACCGGGAAACTTCTTTTGATACAATTTTGTTTTTTAAATTATTTAAAGTTTAGCAAATAAAACTCCAAGCAAAGAACAGTACCAGAAATATTTTAACTCAGCAAGAGATGGATAGAGGACGGAGAAAAGTGAAATCACTCATATTTTTAAACAATTCCCCTGGAAATTTCTCAATGGATCTTTCTTGATTGTAGCAGAGTATCACATCTGTGGTAAAAAGTAACATGTGGTGTCACTCAAAATCACAGATTGTTCCTGGGACCTAACTGTGGAAGTTCTGGTAACTAACTAGAAAAGTAAGAAATGTTCACAAATGGTCTTTGTTGCTGAAGAAAATTCAGACTGACTACCTTTTGGAAGAAGTGGTGTAATGTTTTAATGGTGTTTGTTTCTTTTTAAAAATCTAGGGATTCTAGGGGCTTTCATAAATTCTTAATCTAGGCACTTTGATAATCACTGACTTAATTTCTTAATCACTGACTGGAAAACATCTGTGGAAGATTGTGCTGAAACATTTATTGACACTCTGCATTGTCTCTGAATAATTGCTGAATGCATTTTCTGTGCATTTGGAATTGCTTAACCCTCTTGCTTGGGGGAAGGAGACCCAGGGTTTGAATTGCAGCAGGTAGCACTGCGATGTTGAAGCCAGGTCAGAGTTTGGGTTCACACAGGAACAGCACATGGTTTCATGCAGGCTCCTGCACAGCCAAGGGTAACAAAACCTTATTGAATTCCGCATCCTCAGACAGTCACCAAGCCATCAATGGAAAAAAGGAAGAAAACCTGTGCTTTTAACAAGCCTGCAGAGCCTACAGGTTAGAAAACCTTATAAAACACTGTCATTGATTTGCTTCACCCAGAATCCTGATCTGTTTTTTCTTATCTTTTCTATATCCCAGTCAATACTCTGCATGAAAAACACTGAAAACCACTTTTTTTTATAGTCATGAAATGGGAATTCCTAATCAGTACACATGACAACAGCAATTTTTACATGGATGCAACCAGTTAAATTAGCACTGACATTTGTTGCCCATAAAATGCATGAAATACCGAGTCCAATTTGGTACAATTTAATAAAATTCTAAGGACCTCAATCCATTTAAAAACAAATAAAACCTATTGCTTGATGCACAGTAAAAGGTTTTACAATTATGACATTATTACATAATGGTTCCCAGAAGCACTTTTGTAGCTAAATCCCTGACATGATTTCCATTGCCAAGCCTGCCTTTGAGGGATTTATAAATCTCATTATTTCAGTTCCTACTGTACTGTGCTCTATGGGAGTATTTGCAGCATGCAAGGACTCAGGTCTCCATTTTGTTCTTCTTGTAGACCCAAAACTGTCTTAGACAGCTCAGCTGGGACACTAATTGCAAAAAATACAAGTGGGCTTTTGTTGTCAAGAAAAATCTGTGGCTGTCACTGTAGGCTTTGGTTCTCGCTGCCAGTGAGCTGCAGTGCTGAGAACAGAGCCTGTCACAAGCTCTGAACAGCAACCACCAAGCTCACATAAACTCACTCCTGGTAAGAAACCACATTATTATCACTATCAGAAATGAAGTCACCACTCATCTTCACTGGTGATCAGAACAAACAGCTCTGGAGCTCAGGTGGCCAGAGGTGAGCAGGCAAGATGCTGAAACCTGTTCTGCACTCTCAGCAGTAGCAGTTTCTTGCCACATAACTGCAGAAGCTGAGGACTAAAAACTGCAACAATCAGAAGGTTAAGCAATAGGGAACTACTCACTGCTGCTGCATAGGAAGTAACATTTGTTAGCTAAACCCTTATAAAGAAAATGGTCTGGAAAATGTTTTTAAAGAATAAAAGTATTTTCTAATGATTGTTCTTAAAAGTTTATCTAGAATTATTTTGCACCATGAAAATGTGAAGACCACATAACGAATTTCCTTTGGTTTTCCTCACCTGTCTGGCAGGCATCTCTCCAATCACTGCCTCATAAGGAGGGGGCAGCTCACTTGGATACAGCATTCCTGGGCTATTAATGGTTACTTCATATAGAGCACCAAATGGGGAATGAGGGAAGTCCAAATGGAGACTTCTACAAAAAAAACATAAACAAGCAAACAATTAAGAAATGGCATTGATTTATTACCTATACCACAGTGATGTAAATACTTTTCTGAATTCAAAGCCAATGCACTACAAAGAAATACATTCAAGAAATTTATTAGACAAGGCATCCAAAATGAAGCCCTGGTTCACAGGGTAGCTTTAACAACTGTTTTTTTATTTAGGATGCCAGCCATCTTTACCAGCCTGCTTTGCCATCATAAACATCCTCAACTGGTCCAAATTAACACACATTAATTACAATAATTTTCTTTAAAAATTAAATTTCAGACTCAACTTCAAATGTATAATGTTAACTGTGAAAGGATCACTTGCAAAGGGACCTTTGCTCAAAGCTCAGACATTGTTATCCTTGTCTTAGTTAAGGTCAGTCATTTCTCTATTGCAGCAATGCTTTAACACAAATATTTGCAGATGTAACCTAACAAGTTTGCTAAACACCACATGCAATCTGTCTGGCAAAGAAGAGCCCAGTGTAAGTGAAGGACACGATTTGGGTTTGTGCTCTTGGAAAGAGCTGCAGGCCCAGAGCTCAGCCTGGAGCCGGCTGCAAGGGCAGGGCAGGGCAGGGCAGGGCAGGGCATCACCTCTGTGCCTCCCCCACGGGCGTGCAGGTGTACTCTGGTGGGTAGTAGGGAGGGGGGGGGATTGGTGGGATGAACTCATCAAAATCCAGGGTCTGGTGCAGGACAGTCCCATGTGGAGTCATGCAGTCAGGATTGGCAGAATGCGGCCTCTGTGGCAGAAACTGGAAATGAACAGGTAAAGTTCCTTCAGGTGGTAGAAACATCATCACCAATATCAACAATTTTAATAAAACCAACATCAAATTCATTAACACCCAAGCTGAAATGAAAAAGGCACTTCTGGGAGCATAAGAATACTTGTGATCAGCGAGGAGGGTGAGTCAGATTGCCAAAATACAGCACAAGGTTTTACTAAAGACAGAGAGGCTTTGGGCCTTCAGGTCAGTCAGTCTTAGGATGCAGGACACAGACATTTACAATTTAATGTCTTTTCAAGAAATATTTTTCATTCTATATTGTTTTATTGTAGCCCCACATAATCAGTTCTATTTTAATAACTGATGAAAAATAGAAATAACTACTAAAACAAATATTTGCATGTTTTTGTTTCCAATCTGAACTGCCTTGCACTTGCGAAGAAAAAAAACCCCAATACCAATCCCCAAAACATCCCCAAATAAAACTACCTAGAAACAGGCTACTACATGGACCTTATGTTTTGAATAAAACAACTGGAAATATCCCACCCATTTTTCACTTCCAGTGAAGGGGCTGTTTATAGCTATTCTTTATTATTCTTGTAAAATGAAATACTCTTAATAGCTGTTTGTGGTTTGGTGATACAGACACTGCACACTTAAATGTGGTATAAAGCTTATAAGCACTGGTATGAAAGTAAGAAAAACATTTATTCCATATACACATCTCAAAACCCAAAAGAAAATAACTACACTGCACAATAAAAAGCAATAATATTGAGAACTACATCAACATTTGTGACAGAGACCTCATCAGCTTCCAGCAGAGCAGGGATCTAAAGAAGCCACTGATATCAGGAACGCTCAGAAGTGTCTGGGAAAGGGCTGAACTAATCCAAGATCAAATATGGACCAACCTGAAGATCCCACAACCCACACCTGGCTCTATTTGGTCCCCATGGATCAAAGGGGGACTAAAAGACAATCCAAAACCACAGATTTTTTTCTTTCCCAGGCAAGCTTCTGCTCTTATATGATTTTTCTTGGATGAGTAAATTACTTATCTTTAGCTCCAACCTTCTAAAACAAGCCTGCTAAGAAACTCTGCTGAAATTACTTTTTTTTTTTGGGCTGGAACAATGTATGTTTTTGTACTGTGGGCTCATTACATTGTTGTTTGTTTAAATCCATGATAAAGATTTGGGAAGCAGTAAAATAAAAGGAAAAATGTTTATGCTTAGGAGATCCAGCAAATAGAAAGTAAATTACCTTCATTTATAATATCACAGTTCTATATTTATCACTTTTTGAAATTTAATTTGGTGCAGTTCTGCTGAATTTACATTACCACAGAAATGATACTGGTCTTTTGTGTTTTAAAGCTTGAGTTACATCTCAGTTTTATTACACTCCCTCTATGTATGTTGTTTGAAAGGTCAGAGCTGTGATAACACAGCACAGCAGAGGGTCAGGAGGACCAGTACCACCTGTTTGTCAAATGAAGTATTGGCTGCTGGGCTCTCCAGAGATATTTCCACACATAACTATTATTAAAGAACCTCCTCTGCAGAATTTGTTATTTCCTTACATCCTACAGCCAACCAAGGACTTTCTGCCATTCCATTCTGCTCATGGTACAGCAGAAAAACAGAGACATGGCATCACTTTGATTTACTCTTCGTTATGTGAAATATCTGATGCTCTTTCATCCTCCATGTGAGCTGGGAAGCTGCCATACCAAGTACTATCAGACATTTCTCTGTTTGGCTTACAGGGAAGAAAACCAGAAAAAACCAAAACCCACAATTATCTTGCAGTCATTTGGTCTAAACTCATCTGATCTTCCAACAGCCATTTCCTAAAGTGTAACATAACATGAATACCAACCATTAAACTCCAAACTTCTGCCCTAAGCAGTCATCAGTCTGTTACCATCTCAAATACACGGAAGAATCTTTTAGGAAAAAAGGAAGCGAGACAAACATCAACATAATTACCTAAAACCTGTAAACATTTATCATAATGAAAACAAATATCTGAGTATGCTGGGTCATCTTTTGTACACTATTTGACCACCAAACTCAGGACTGCCCTCATCTTCCTAGAAGAGTAAATAATTGGGGTAATTTTTACAGTCTGGAAAAAAACCCACTTTAATTTACAACTTCCTTGACCTTCTCCCAGACTGTTTCCATGCTGCCATGGGCCCCAAGCTCTGGTTTGTGCCAGAGAAGTTGCAGCTCTGTTCCCTCAGTGCTGGAGTTCCCTGGAGCTGGATCCCCTCAGCCCCGCCAGAACGGGGCAGGCAAACACAGGGCACTGCACAGCAGCTGAACCACCAGCACACACTGTGTGGGACACGACACGAGGGAGAGGTTTCACACACGGCAGAAGGGGCTCCAGGAGGAAAAGATCTGATGCTGGGATGCAGCTCAGCTGAGCAGCAGAATTCTCTGCATCCCTTTCAAGGTCTGGCATACAAACCATGGACACGAACTGTGACCAACACTTGACAACGAGCGGCAGGATGGACATGGAAGTACACATGTTTGGGGGTGTTTATAAACAACACTTTACCTGTGTGATATCATCCTGCTGGAAGGCACAGAAATTAAAGTGAAAAAGGCTGTAAGAGGGAAACTAGCAGGAAATGAAACAATAGCAAATATAAGGGATTACCACAAAGAACAGACATCCTTGAGAAAACAATTGAAAGCTAGTAAGTGGGAATTAAGTCATATTTTATTCCACTCTACGTTGCCTACTGATCTCTGCTAGTCTGCAAAAGCTTATTCTTTCTACAGGAAAATGTATTTTAAATATCTTCAAGAGTTACTCTCAAATAGTGAACTCTGGCAGGGTTTCAGCAAAGTTTAATACAAATTTCATAGGTTAAAAAAAGACAGTAATAAAATGCAGAGCTGAGAAAGCTGCAAAAACTGACAAATACTTTCAGACAGAAACACACATTTCTGGTATTAGAAGACAGCTGTCATCAAATAATCAGTCTCAAGATACTGATGGCAAACAGGACAGACAACAACAAGAACTGCCAAGCAGAAAATGGGGGTGGCTGTTCAGTGACCAGGATAAACAGGATCAAGTTGCACTCAATATCATGTCAAAAACTGCAGCTCACACCACGGAACAGCTCACACAGTGGGACTCCCAGCCAGCCTTGGGATTGAGCTGATGGCCACTGCAGAAGCTATGGATAGAAAATGGTTGCAGACAAAGATCAACAGCATACAGCATTTCTGGTAAATGCTAAATATCCAACTGCATCAAAAGCTTAGCAAAAATTTATTGCTATCAACAGGTACTTGAAACATATTTACTTGAAAGAAACAGAAAGCCCATGGCTGTGGAAATCCAGAAAACTCAATCATTTCTGTTACCCTCCTGGAGCTGTTGAATGCTGGGAGCTTTCAGAAATCTGACAGGCAATGAAACACAGATCTGGAATTCATGGTCTTTTAGGAAACAGCTGACCTTATGTTTGAAGCTTGGCATTCAGACTATTACACTCACACAGACAGGTATTTCCTCATCTCTGGCCTTCCTTTAGTGTGTGAAACGTGTCTGATACTGGATGGGCATCACACAGCCCAGTGCTTGTGCCAAAGGGATGTGGAGCACAGCAC